TGCACTCTCGCTCTCACCCGGCCCTCGCCTTACTACACTCTCTCATTCACCCGCTCGCTCGCACACACGCCCGCCGACCTCTCCCGTGACCGCGGATACGCCGTCGTTCCTAAGGATGCTCAAGGAACGAGCGAGGGCGGGAATAGCGGACTATAGATACGAGGACTTCAGGGGAAAAAGTCCACTCGTGGGTGTGCTTACGCGGGGTAATTTAGGCACAACAAGTCGCTGCTATTTCCACCTCGGGATTCACTATCTCTCACCACCTCGCTGATACATGCTTATCGCGTGATAAGTAAATTAAGAGGAGATAAATGCTTATCGGGCTGTTACGCATAGGGAAGCCAATAAAAGAAGCAGGTATGCGAGGGCCGGGTCGGAGCAGCCCATCGCCATTGCAGGCGCGTCGTGGCCGAGGGGCGCTGCGTGCACCGGATCCCAAGGGCCTCCCTGAGGGGCCGTATGGTGCAAGCGGCGCGCCAGACGACCGCAGAACCGCAGGTGCTGCTAATGCTTTATCCAAGCAACTTTTGCTATTGTTGTAGCCCTCCCGCCCCGAGAGAGGCCTACCCACCCAAGGGAGGGCGCGGGAGGGCCGGCGACTCAGTAAACAAGGTGGGGCCAGGCGCGGCCGCGGCGTTTACATTCACTTGTAAACACTACGATCCGGAGGGTGGGTAGGGGGGGAGGTGGGGAAGGGGGAAAGCGGGTGGGTAGGCGGGTGGGCAGGTGGGCGGGCGGTTCACTAGAGAAGGGAAGGGGGTTTGGGTGACCTTGCTCTCAGCAAAAACCCACCCTCCCTATGGTCAATAGTCAGGGGCAGTCTAGTGATCCACACTGACCTGTCGAATCGGCGTCTTATAAGGCTTTTGTTCGCCTAAAGACTCTTCAATTTCACAGGCGGTTCGGTTCGCCAGATGGTCGTTATGTAGATCAGCGACGACGACCCCGTTTCCAGACGATGATCAAGAGCCTTTCGCTACTTCGAGGTCTCCGCCTCTCATTTTAGTAGTTCACAAATTTTCAAAACCCACTAAAGAACCCAATCCCTGCAACCGATAAAAATAAAAACCTCATACATAAACAGACCATAAGGGAACAAAACGAAATATCAATATATACAATGTGTCTAAAACCATTCTCCTTCGCAATAACTCCCCGAGACCAATGACGTCACACGACCTGAGATGTGTGACAGTGTGACAGAATCTCTAAACGAATCAAGGTGTCGCCCAGGTAAAAGGACATTCTACAATATTTCAATCATTTTGCCCCTTTCTTTCCAGTCACATAAATCTTATCAGCGACCAGTCAAATTCACCGGAAAAAATATACATTGAATGTCATCTCTAAAAAAAATATACATATATATTTCCTTCCATCTCTCTTGCAAGACAAGACATCGAACACGAAAATAAGAATCAATAAATACACCTCTCCATTTTCGTTCCATAGGTACGAGTACATTCCTCACCCAACACCGCGAAAGGGCGTTGGATCACCTCCTCGTACGATCAACAACTCGCTCCAAGTGGTATTAACAAGGTGTCGGAAACGTATACATTGCCTAGCCATAACTCATCTCAGCTATGGCGTTTTTTTTTCCCTTGCGCTCCTCCCTTCCTCGCTCTCTCGCTTTCTTCCTTTATTTTTTTTTCTTTATTTTTTTCTCTCCTTCCTTCTCCCTCTTTCTCTCCCTCCCTCTCTTTTTCCCTCTCTCCCCTTTCACTGGTCCTTCCCCCTTCAAATCTCTCTTAATTCTCTTTTCATTCACCCTCCTTCCTTGTTTATTCTTAAGCTTACATTCCTACTCATCTGTCTGTTTGCCCGCCTGTGGTCTCATCCCCGCCCACTCCTCGATCTACGCGCGTCCTCCTCCGCATCCACCCCTTTCGCTAACTCCCACACTCCCTCTCCCATGCCTCCTCCATTTGCTTCACTTATTCTCATCCAACAGTCTATTCCATCTTCGCTTCCTCCCACCCACCTACATCTACTCCATCCACTCTTACAACCACCTCCTCCCGCCATTCTCATCCACCTCCTCCACCTCCTCTCACCCGGCCACCTCCTCCACCTCCTCCCTCGTGCCCATCTCATCCACCTCCTCCTGCTTATCTCCACTACATCCTTCACTTACTCCCACACGTCGTTTTCTCCACCCCCCTCCCGACCATCTCCACCACTCCCTACCCATCCATATATAGCCTCCTCCACCCACCCATCTCCACCACTCCCTACCCACCCATCTATAACCTCCTCCACCCGCCCAATCCTCCACCTCCTCCACCTACACCCTTCCTCCCACCACCTCCTAAGCATCCACGCACGCCTAAAGCATCTCGACCGCGCAGTAACGGGCAAATCCTTTCCTCTGAACCTCAGATCCTATAATCCCAACGCATTCATCAAGTCTAGTTCCCGCCACTCTCAGCCTCGCCAAAAATCCCGTGCTTATTTCTCTCCAACTCCAGCTACAAGCAAGCAAGCACGCACGCACTATGTTTTTAGGCCTGTTTCCCTCCATTCTTTAGGACAACATTTTTCTCCCTTTTAAATTTTTTTTTTTTTTTCGGGGGAACATTCTTATGTTTGAAATAGCAAAACTGGCTGTTCGTTTTCTTTCCGTTCAAAACTTTTTTTTTATGATTTCGTTTACTTTATTCGGTTTTAAATTTCTTTTGTATATTTCTTACTACGTGGGGGTTTTCTTGTTATTTTTGCGCCCTTTGCACTGTTGTTACACACACACGCACACACCTATATATATTATATTATATTATATAATAATAACATAACAAACAAAAAACGTAAAAATAATAGCAATAATACTAATAATAACAAATATTACTATCATCATTATAACATCAAGAAACAACAGCAATAATTACATAACAAAGATAATAAAACAAAATAAAAAACAAAACAAATATAAAAAACGAAACAAAACCACAAAATGACAAAGGCAAACGGCAGAGAAGGACAAAAGAACGGACGCAAATATGGCAACGGCAACCTCTCAGCTACAGAGGTGGCTATGGCGACTGATGGCGGAATCAACCACAGGTAAGGGTGTCGAGTGTCCAGGTATGGGCAGGTGAAGTGACAACACACAGCCACGACCTCTTACATAACGCTGTGTCAGCCCCCTCCGCTTCGATGCCCTTTGGACGTGATATATATAACCGTGGATATACCCGACTCTCTTGTCTGCTCCGTTCATATCTTTTAATCGCGTAATACCAAGTTCATCTTTACACCTCGTTATCAATTCTGTCAACGTAATCATTTCTCTTTTTGCTAACAGTTCGTCGAAGAATTCTGAAATGTTTCGTGTTTGGATAATCTTAAGCAATTTCAGTGGTAGAAGAAACAGGAAGATGTACTCACCAAACAGATCAAGACTGGAAAATACCGGACAAGAGAGTCACTCACCTGGAAAAAAGGAAAACAAAATTAAAATATTTAAAAGCACAAAGACAAAGACAAGCGTGTAACTTATGCTAAATGGGGGAGAGATAATAATCAAACTTAATAATACGCTCTTTTAAACGATATTCTTTTATTTGAATTCTAATTCTATCAAGCAGAATTGTTATACAGCATGTTAATGAATAATTCTAAATAGATCCTCGTTTTCTATGATCTAGTAGTGTCTCCCCTGCTACCAAGTCCACTCATTAAGAGAAAACTATTCTTTTTGAGTGGATAACTTAAAATAATTCCAACGTGGTCTTTAAAATACATTTCTCATCTTGAAATGTGGTACAATTTGTTCTAAACATGGATTAAATCATACTTAATGCATATTTGATCGCATTCCATGTGTATTTACGCATATACCATTAGTGCGTGCGTGCGTGTGTGTATATATTTATTTGCACATCAGTCATACTAATATAAATTTCTCGACTGAACCACAGACAAGGGATTTTGATAATTAGTACTTTGACTTCCTCTCCTTTTCCATTTTACGCTTACCTCGAAAAAGTGAAAACAAAAGAAAAGGAAGGAAATTAAAGAAAGGACGAAGACAAAGGAAAGCTGATAAAGCGTGTTAGGGAAATTAGAGACAAATAACACGAATGACGCGAATATGATGAACAATAGACCAAAAATAATAACCAAGCAAATAAATAGTAAAGACAATGGGACAAAAGACAATGAGGAAATAAATAAGAAATAATATGGGAGATAATGGACAAAAAGGAACAAACACAGTGATGATAAGGAAAGGAGCAGGAGGAAAGGGAAAGGGCTGAGGAGGAGTAGGAGGGGGGAAAAGGAGGAAGAAGAGGAAGAGGAGGAAGAGGAGGAGGAGGAGAAGGAAAAGAGGAGGGGGAGAGGAGGAGGAGGAGGAGGAGGAGAAGAGAGAGAGAGAGAGAGAGAGAGAGAGAGAGAGAGAGAGAGAGAGAGAGAGAGAGAGAGAGAGAGAGAGAGAGAGAGAGAGAGAGAGAGAGAGAGAGAGAGAGAGAGAGAGAAGTGAGAGAGAAAGAGAGAGAGAGAGAGAGAGAGAGAGAGAGAGAGAGAGAGAGAGAGAGAGAGAGAGAGAGAGAGAGAGAGAGAGAGAGAGAGAGAGAGAGAGAGAAAGAGAGAGAGAGGATGGAGAGGTATAGAGAACAAAATTCAGTAAACAATAATAATAATAGATAATAAATAATTAAGTCAAATTCCACGAAGAACACAAACAGAAAAAAAAATCTACAACACAAGACCAGCATAGCAAGAGCAACAACCAAAGAGCAGATCCGGGTTGAGTAGCAGCCGTAGCAGAACGGCCGAATTACGAAGGAAATTATCATCATTTTCCTCCAAGGCTTACGCCATGTCTTGCTAACGCCAAGGTTCAGGAAATAATTGTCACTCATGAGAAATATTAATGGTGATGGTGGGTGTTGTCGTGGTGGTGATGGTGGAGATGGTGGCCGAGGTGGAGGTGGATGGAGTGGTGGTGGAGGTGGAGGGGGGGAAGTGGAGGTGAATGGAGTGGTGGTGGACGG